TTCACTGACACACAAAACAAGGAAGCTCTCGAGAAGACATTTGTTTCTCCAATTTCATAAAAATGTACAGCAGCTGAATACACTATAATATCCCGCGGTTTTAAACACTGTATGTTTGAAAATCAAGATAAAAACTTTTCTTTGAACTATCATCTGCAATCAAAATTCCAATTTAAAACCAAAACACTCCAATAGCTTACTGAGTAAACTTATATGAAAATATCAAAGGGATTTTTATGTTCAAATATTATTAGATCATTGCAAACATCAAATATTTAGTTAAGAAAATAGTTCTCCGTTTTTAATTGTAATCATCATGCATATACATGTATATTACAATTTAAGAACAAGAGGCCCATAGGCCACATCGCTCACCTGAGCACTGTTTATAGGAAAAAGGCAAAAATCGGTTCACTATTAAAAAGCTTAAATGCATAAGTGGTCCCGACCTACCCATAAAACGCGGGGGGGGGGGGGGGGGTATGGGGTTTGAACAAAATTGAATATACACTAATTAAGGATGCTTACATATTTCTTTGACTAACTGTGGCTTTTTTCCCTACCAGTTTAAACTTTCATTGGGGCCCCACCCTACCACCCGGGGGTCATGATTTGAACAAACTTGATCTACACCACCTGAGGATGCTTCCATAAAATATGAGCGATCATGGCTTTGCTGTTCTTGAGACGATTTTTGAAGACCTTTCTTATATACACCTATGTTAAACTTTTATCGTCCATTGTGGCCCCACCCTACCCCAGGGGGTCATGATTTGAACAAACTTGAATCTACACCACCTGAAGATGGTTCCATATAAATATGACCAATTATGGCATTGCTGTTCTTGAGAAGAAGATTTTTTAAGATTTTTCCTATATAATCCTATGTAAAACTTTGATCGTCCTTTGTGGCCCCTCCCTACCCCCGGGGGTCATGATTCGAACAAACTTGAATCTACACTACCTGACAATGATTCCACATGAGTTTCATTTTTTCTGGCCCATTGGTTCTTGAGAAGAAGATTTTTAAAAGATGCCATTAATTTTTCACTATTTTGTAATTATCTCCCCTTGGAAGAGGGCGTGACCCTTTATTTGAATAAATTTGAATCCCCTTTACCAAAGGATACTCTGTGCCAAGTTTGGTTGAAATTGGCCCAGTGGTTCTGGAGAAGAAGATGAAAATGTGAAAAGTTAACGACGACGACGACAACAACGACGACAGACAACGGACAAATTTCGATCAGAAAAGTTCACTTGAGCCTTCGGCTCAGATGAGCTAAAAAGTGATTCAAATGAAGCAATTAATGATTAATTTACAACAGAAGTTTCAGTAGAAGCTGATAGTAATAATGACTGTTACATGTCACGAAAAAACAATCAACAGAGCACTTAACTTGACGATAGAAAGAGGAAGACATTCCTACATGCAGTCATTGAAGTCCCCGAGAGAAAAGGAAGTAAACAATTTAAAAAATCATAACAACATTGTCAAATTAAAGCTTTTTAAGTCCGATATTCATAACATACTGCCAATATAAAAAAGAAGAAACAAAAAAATTAAGGGAGAAAAATACTCTTTTACAATATTGATTAAGTAAGACGTTTTCTTTCACGGTTGCCTTAAACTGTTAAAGCTATGACAGAAATACTATTTTAAAATACTATATTGTCATTTATACGTGTGGAGAACTTCTTCACACTGTTTAGGTTGTAATAGACAGGCCCGTAGGAAGCAATTTCACTTTGAGTGGGCACAAACATGCATTTTCAGTTGGGGGGGGGGGAGGGGGACTATCAACTACCAAAATTCCTTGACAAGCAAAAAAAAAAAAAAAACGATCATCAGACGTTATTTTGAGGGGCACAGACATATAGTAGCTATGTTTTCTATAGTATTCTATATATCGGCAAAATTATTGCCCCCCCCCCCCGGTTCCTACGGCCACGATAGATCTTTATCTATTTCAGAAGTTACCTTTGTGGCAAAGGAGTTATTACGTGATTTTATTATATATTACAATACGTGTACAAAAATGTGTAGAGCATCACAGGGACACTATAGCTGTTTTTTTTTTTCTTTTTTTTTAAATTTTTTTTAACAACAGTAATTCTTCTTGCTCTTTCGATTTTTAGGCATCTAAGATGAATGCAAAATATACATAGATGTCGAAGAATTTTTTTGTTTCATTATTATTAAATTTTACAAGAAAAGTACAAAGGATACAAAAGCCTAGTAGAATCTGTAGATGAAGAGAAAATCGTGTTTACAAATAAAAAGTTGAAAATATGAGATAAAAATTAAGAAAGTCGTAATGGAGACATTTTATGTCTAAAACTTTTATTTCATATTTTCATCTTCCTCATTTGACCCTGGTAAGCTAGAAAATCAACTGCTGCAGCTCAGGTGCGCATTTATTTCCGGAATTTCCGACTATTTTTTTTTTAAATGATTGTCCGTTCGGAGCATCTCGAATGCTTTCATAGAATTATGGATGTTTCGGGACCGCGATGTTTCGGGACTCCGACGTTTCGGGACCTGACAACACGTTTCGGGACTTCTAAATATTTTGTAAAGGAAATGAAATAAAACTTGTTTACTTGTGTTTTTATGTTTATACATGTATAATTTCTCAATTTGATACACAATTTATAATTTAGGAAGCACTGATTGGAGTTTTTATTAGTTTTAAAGTTTACCTGCGGCATGGAGGACACCTGCCGAGAAAATCAAACGCCCGCGATGTTGTCTCTTTAATTTCTTATTACAGTATTTTATATATTACCTTTATAAAGTATTTGGTTAACATTTGACCAAAATTTAATTCAATTTTTTTTAAAATATGTATTTGATTTATTTATAGTGTTTGATACGAGAGTTTGTAGAATTAAAGCCGGGAGACAATCGTAACTGCTGTGTGAATACCACGGACGTGTTTTTCTTTCTAAGACTTTCTTTCTCTCCTTTTTAATAATAATTTTAGGTATTTGATTTCATATTTGTTTACAAAATTTACAAAGGCTCAAGCTAGCACATGTGCAGTAAAAACTTTACGTTTTACGGGTAGTTGTTTTGAATCAGAATCTGAAATATTCCATGTTCAACTTTTTAAACATCAATGTATAAAATTTATAATTATTATTTCAGGTTATATATGCAATAAAATCATAAAAGCAAATTTATACAAAATGATACGGGTAAGAGAAATGTTATAACTTAAGCTATAAACTTCCTACACATCCATGTATACGTTAAGCAGAGAAGAAAAAAAAAAAACGGAAATGGGTAAGAAAATCAGCATATATTTGACATTTCAAATATATATAACGTCAAAGAACAGCTTGTAAAGTAAATTTTACTGAAAGTATGATGTGTATATATATACCATGTATGCAACATTTGGAAATAAACCAAACTTACTAATTTTCAAAATATAAACACGTTTAACTTATTTTTCATCTTAACGTTTCAAAGTTAGACAATTTCTTCGTCTATGCAAAGTACATGTACTCGATGGCTTAAGAAAAATGATGAAAGTAATCGATTTTATTCATTTATTTTAATTAGAAAAAAATTATTCCCACGAAAGTCCCAAATATTCCCGCTATATATTATTGTACTATCAAAATTCTTAATTTGTCTACAATGATATGGATGTCTGAATTTATGTTTACTGTGTATACACAGACTACAAATCTCAATGAAACTCAATTATCGATCTTCTTATATACCCAACCAGTGCGTAATATTATATGTGGTGTTACATAGTTAGGTACATGACAAACTTTAAATAATACTGTAAATAAATACTAAATATTATTTAATTTGCAAATATTAAATTTTTCATGCTACATGTACGTTGTAAAAGTGTTTAAAAGACATTCCACATTGACTACGTTAACAGGTCAACTTCAATTTCAAATTTCCACCTTGCCACATTAAATAGATAAAGCTATGATGAAATTTAAAATGTTTTTAAAGACATTATTTGAAACGATATCAAATGAAATATGTTGTTTATACCATTTAATGCTTTTTTTAAAGTATGGTATTTTTTTTTAAATTTAGGGCCAATTTTCTCGCAACATTTGTAAAATATGTTTAATTACAATGTTTTGGAAACTTTAAAAAATGTTTTCGTAACATTTCCAGGGAAGAATCTTACAGATACTATGCCAAAACCTTTTGGAAAAAAAATATTTGAAACCGTTTGGGAAAAGGTAGACAAAATCAAGATCAAAACATTTTGAAAACCTTTATATTTTGTTGAACTATTGTTTGATTCTGAATTATTTCATTTACCAATAAACAAACGATATTTTTTCCATATTTTTAGATTTTTATTTTCTTAAAATAATTTCAAAAGAAACCACACAATCTTTTTAGTTCCCATTACCGGCGGCGTCTTTATACATGTACGTAACACCTCCCTATAAAACAGAGTATCAGTTGGGATATGTGTACCTGATCCCAGTTGTTGTTTTAACAATTTACTGACATGTTTTTTAAAGATATATTCGACGGTAGCTGGAGATCACTTGAATATTTTAAAATATCTATCATCAACCTGAGAAGATTAAATTTTGGACCCCCCCCCCCATCACCACACACACACACAAAAAATAACTAATAAAAAAAATGATAAAAAAATAAAAAGAAATAAAAATGAATATTGTAAAGATTTATTCTTCTTCGTCTGTTATGAAAAAAACCCATCAAAGTATATCTTTATGACAATTTTTATTATATATATATACATAAAAATTAAAATTCGGATTTAGCTTGAAATATTACGTACTATGTGTAATTAGAATAACATGCTATATCACCATAATAAAATAATTTGCTTAGATCCCGAAAAAAATTAACTCAAGTCCCGAATCGTCTTTACCCAAGTCCCGAACCGTCTTGTTGCTAGTCCCGAAACGTCGTATTAGTGAGGTCCCGAAACGTCGTGGTCCCGAAACATCGTGCACCCCTTTCATATACCACTACTGTCAAACGTAAACAAGAGAAAATATTCTGAAATAGGAAAGAAAATTCGTGAAAATGTCGATTAACACAGCACATGCCTTAGGAGGTGTCTTGATTTTTGCTGGAGAAAGGTATATACATATATTAAAATATATATACATATATTAAAATAAAAGCTAATGTTATTTTGAGGCCTGTAGATTAATTCTGAATCGGAAAAAAGGAATACAAAATATGAGTTGAGGATCACCTGACGGTGTGTCATAAAATATGTAATCATGCCTGCATTATAATGTTACTGTGAAATTTAAAGATGCATTTTATTGGATTTAATTAGTAATATACGTATATTTTTACAGACATTACTTTTGTACATGTTGGAAAACACATTTTTAAAATGTCTATGATTTTTTTTTTAACATTTTTCCTCCATCGGCAAATGAAAAAGATGTGTGCTATGAATATAGGAAAGTTTATATATTTTTTTTATTTACCAAGAAAAATGGGTAGTGCCTCTGTTATCTCTTTGATAAATAGAACCAAGAATCACTGCTGGCAAGATAGCTCAGTTAGTAAAACACCCCGTGTACAGTTAACAGGTTAAGGGGGACCAGGTTCAAATCCTGGTCTAGTCCACATTTTCTCCCTCCCCATTATATTTGATCATGTTGCTATTATTTTATCTCTACTGTTATTACTCTACAAAAAGTGAATACCATCAAACTGTCTATTTCCCTGAGAAGGCACTACTTCCCCCATCTGAGGACTACTAATCCGAGATTCCTCTTACTCTAACCCCCTGCTTTTATATTGTGACATGTGCAGGGGAAATAGACCCTGTTTATTATTCTGATACATTAAAACAGGTTAGTAAACAGATGCAACACTTATAATGATTACCTGCAAGGCCGTAACTAGGCTCAAATTTTTAGTGAGGCAATTAATTGATCTGGGGGCCACCTGAGAGTCCCAGGGTAGTGTCCTGATAAGGATTCTCGGGGGAGGGGAGAGTCCCTGAAACCAGGGTTTTAGCAAATTAAAGAGTTGATCTTTGAAAGTTTACACATTTTGAATAATTTTTTATATGCTTTCTAAACTATTATGAAGCACCTGGTGAGATGATCAATTCACGGAAATTGAAGTTGAAAGTATTAATTTAGTACAAAGACACTCATAATTAAAGTTCAAAGTAAATCTTTTTCACTTTTCAGGAAACTGTGAATTTTTCATGAGGCATTTGCCTCACTTGCCTCAATGGTATTATGGCCTTGATCTGTTTATAGCAAATTATTTGTTTTGTTTCCAGGAATTGCAAAATATAAATTTTGAAATCATTGTCAAGAATTATGGATAGAAAATACAAGATACTTTATTATTACCAACCATGTATGCCATGAGGTTTACAAATACATTTCAAATTATCAAATGTTGATAAGTCGTGTTAAGATCAGAGAATGATAAAAGAGTACATTTTGGTCTCCTGTATAAACAAAAGGTTTTATGTTTTCAAAGACCAGTGACACCTACTGTTGTTTACTGTTTATGTTTAAATGCTTTATATTTCTTTCTCCACTAGGATTCTGTTATATTGTGATGATGTGGAAATAGGATTTGATGGAGGTAATCAACCAGAGTTCAAAGGTCACAAGAAGGGTCGGTTGTACCTCACTACCCACAGGGTAAGACCCCATAATAAATCAAGTGGAAAGAAAAAACTTGAAATATTATTTAGTCAAACAGCTGTAATTGGTCAAATTTCTAATTGTTATACTATTGATTGTCTTCTGTCTGGAATCAGAGGTGTGATATTCAAGAATTAATTAAATATTCTTTCTGTTCATTAGACAAAGTTTTTGTACTAGATTTTTTTTTGAAGGTGATTTTTAATGCATCTAGCAGTAAGGAAGTGTTACAGTCATTTAGTATGCCCTTCTACTGCATGCGGGAAATAGAGCTCGAACAACCTGTGTTTGGTTCAAACTACATCAAGGGGAAGATATTGTCTGAGCAAGGAGGTAATTAAATTTGCCCCCCCCCCCCAACCCTCTTTTTATACGCCCGTCTTTAGACGGGACGTATTATGTTATGGCGTTCATGTCCGTCCATCCGTCCGTCTGTCCGTCCGTCCGTCTGTTAGCTTTTTTCATATCCGGCTCATAACTTTAATACTATTAGGCCTAGGATTATCAAACTTTGTCAGCTGACACTTCTTGGGTAGAAGGTGTGTCGCACATTTAAAGTAGGTCGCTCTGACCTTTATTTAAGATGCTATGGCCAAATATGGAAAAATCCTGTCCGGCTCATAACTAGAAAACTATTGGACTTAGAATCATCAAACTTGGCCAATTTATGCATCTTAGGTAGAAGGTGTGTTGCGACCTATTTCAAGGTCACTGTGACCTTTAAGTGAAATAAAAAAAAAAACTATCTTTTTACTATTAGATTACACAATTCCAAAAAATGCAAGAGTGTTGCAGTTTCCTTATTAAAAAAATGTTAAATCAAGAAAATACTTTTTTTTTTTCCATTATATACTTTACAGCAATCTATAACAAATGTAATGTTACAAGAGAAATTCCACCTCTTCCATAGGTGTAATTATCAAGCACTGGTCAAGGAGAATTTGATAACAAAAAATTACATGTCAAATTAGAGAGAAATTAATGAGTTTAATGTGAGGAGCTAACTGGTAGAGCATCTCTGATCAAGCAGGTGTTATCTATATCTCTTGGGAACTGGGCAAAAAGAATCAGCCCTGTTGGATTGAATAGTTGGCTAGCCTAACTTATAAAATGAATTTGGTGAAAAGTAATTAAAACTTATTTGATATTGTATAATAAATTAATTTGATATTGTATAATAAACTAATTTGATATTGTATAATATAATTAAAACTAATTATACTCAGTAGGGGGGGGGTGATATTGGAATCAGCATGCCTGTTGTCTGTATGAATTGCAGCTTAAAACCAGTCTGACATTCAATCTAAAAAAAATCAAGTATTTAAAAAAAAAATGTTTTAATTATGGTAGATAGTCCCTACAAATCTAAGAGTAATGCAGGAACCTTATTAAAAAATGTTGCATCAAGATTATACAAGTTTTTTGTTTCTTTTTATAAATCTTTGTAACAAATTAAAAAAAAATCTTTTGTTTTCAAATTTAATTTCAGAATGACATAAATATGCATTTTTATTGCACTACAAAGCAGATAGTATGGATAGATCCATTCATCCGTTGGGAGTAATGAGTGGACATGCATGCAGTTAAAGATTAATTCATGAGTTCAGTGTAGGGAGGCTAGCTGTCTCAATCATTTCTGTTAGAGGATCTCTGATCAAGCAGCTCTTATCTGTATCCTTTGGGAATTAGACAGAAGAACTGCTTGTCAGTTTATAGCATATGTCATTTGATGGCCAGCCTTTTATTTTTAATATTAATTTGATATAGATTAAGTTGTTAAGACTAAATTGATATTGTTTTATATGATACTTTTATTTATTTTTTTTGAAAATATCGACTAAGTCAGAGCATCATTGGAAGGGGGGGGGGGGGGGGGATGGGCATTTGTCAAGCTCTAACCAGTTGAGGATCTATAATGTAATATTTGTTATAATTAATGCCTACACCACAGGAGATGTATAAACAAATATTATAAGGAATGGAAAAATCCTTGAAATCCTTGTATCAAGGTTGACATGATTTTCTAATCTTGCACTCTAAACTGTTTATGACAATTGAACAATATTTGACGGGCGTATCATGCTGTGGCGGGACACTTTATTTTTTCTCTTTTTCCTTTTTTTGAATATGTTACTTTCCTTTCCACACATTTTTATTTAGAGATTGGAAGTCAAAAGATTTGTTGTTTTATAAAATTAAAATATATGTTAATGTTATTCATGAATGGTCATACATCATAGGTGGACGTAACTTGTAGTGTTCGTTTTCACTATATTTGTGCTCTCATTAAGCCATGAATTCAAGAAATAGTAAAAACCTTATTTGCTAAATGGTCATAATACACATATTACAAATTGAAAACTTAATTTATTTTTCTGCAAATTAAGTACTTGTGGTTAGGTGCCAAAGGAAATATTAGCAAAATTACACACCTGCATTTTATACCCTGATACAGTAATCGTGGAAAATAACAGATCAAAAGCAAAATTCGTTGAAGAGAGTTGAATGTCTAACAATTCTTGCTGTTTTCACCAGATTTTTTTTTTTTTTTTACAGGGAAATGGCAGGGTGTCGTGAAGATCAAGATGTGGTTCACGGCAGGAGGAGCTATCGAGTTCGGACAAGCTATGTTACGAGCTGGACAGCTTGGTAAGATCCGCTCTACTGGCCAATGACTAGGAGAGCTTACACATTTGTAAATTGTCCTTTATCCATCCATTTGTCTGTCTGTCTATTGTAAACGTTAGTTTTTATATCCCCCACAAACAAAGTTTGGTGGGTATATAGGAATCACTTTGTCTGTCTGTCAGTCTGTCCATCTGTTTATCTGTGCAAACATGTCCGGTCCATGTCTTTCTTACTGAGGAACATTAGAATCTACTACTTCACACAAAGATTGTTCATGACCTGAGGGTGCATCATGACCTTGACCCAAGGTCATTTGGGCAAGTTCAAAGTCACTGAAAGGAAAAAAGGTCATAATTTGTGTCTGGTCCATATCTTCCTTATGGATAAACTTGGTGAGTTCCCATTTTACACAAAGATTGCTTACGACCTGAGGGTGTTTCGTAGCCTTGACTCAAGATCATTTGGGCAAGTTCAAGGTCACAATTCCATTTAGTCAAGGGTCATATCACAAACATGATTTAAATGCCACTTCATCAAGAGCTGTGTAGCGTAGTGGTTAGCGTGTTAATCTCAAAGGAAAATGATACTCAGAACTTTTATTGCTAGAGTTCCAACCCCACAAATACCATAGAAGCACAAATTTTCGTGGGGGATAAAATTTCGTTGATTTGTCATTTAAAAAGGTTTCGTTGGCATTAAATTTCGTTGTTTTGAAAGTAACTTCATTCAATATATAATAATATAAAAATTTTGTGTGGGATTTAATTTCATTGATAATTGTTAAAAACGAAATAAACAAAATTGAATCCCCGATGAATATTTCTGCTTTTACCGTACCACATTATTTTTTGAATAACAGAATAATTTTTGCCGAGAAAATTTTACTCAGAAAAGTTTTATTAATCATAATTTCATAAATTTCAATAATGAGAACTTTACTCTAAATACTAAATTCACAAATTGATTTTGATTTTTATATATCTGAAGCTATAGGCATTCTGTGCGCCTTGTTCATCCATATCCTTTATGCTAACTTGCTGAAAAATATTGCCAAATATTGTGCATGTTAAATATAATACATATTTCAAAATGATACACCTCCAATAGGTTTGATCTGATTTGAATGCATGTATAATTTGATACAAGAGTTGTACATGCAAGACTAAGTACAGATTAAACACAAGTCCATATAAAACTCTCCTCACAGAAATCGTAACCAGTAGAGCTACAGTCCAATGAAAGACCTTGAACAATATTGCTAATTGTTAAACTGATTTTTATGATAAATTCAAAATGTAAAATTATTTTATCTTAAATGAACTGAATTTCCTATATCAAATTTTTTTTTCAGCATCCAGGTACCAGACACAACAACCTCCTCCTTACACCCCTCCACAGGGTCCAGTTTACCAGGCCCCACCCCCCATGTACACCCCACAGTACGGAAATTATAACTGGGTTCCATTTGGTACATTCCCTTCAGCTCCCCCAGGTTTGTATTACAGACACCACTGCTCTGTTTGCAAGATTTAAGTTTATAAAAGCTGGTTACCTCTACATTGAATTTTTATTGATTTGTCTATAGTTTACATGTAAAACAAAATTTGAAATTATTTTGATCATTATACAAACACATGCTTACTGTTGTACTTTTATTTTTATGAAAGCTCTTTATGTGTACATTGTAATTTTATTAGCTCACCTGAGCAAGAATCAGAACAACAGGGCCAAATATAACAAAACTTGGCACAAAGCATCCTTGGGTGAAATGGCTCAATTTGTTCAAAAAAGGCTCATGCTAACTTTAAAAGGGAGATATTGAATAATACAGATAGGATGGGGTCATTTAAAAAGAAAACTGTAGAACCACTGGGCCAGAAAGAACTTATATGAAAGACTCCTAGATTCAAGTTTCTTCAAATCATGGCCTCTAAAAACCCTCAGCTTGCGAAGATGCCTAGGGTGTGGCCACAATAGGTCAATTTAAGATAAGAGTATGTAGAAAAAGAATCTTCTCTACAATGAGTCAAATTAAAACACAAATATTCCCATTAAAGTTGACATTTTGTTACAGCTGAGCAGGTGTATATGACAGAATCTCCACCCCCTTATCCTGGTATTGAACCTACAGCTCCACCCCCAGCTACAAATGGGTACCCTCAGCAATCAAGTGCAGGTCAGAGTTGATTTTTCATTTTTCTACTCGGTTAAAATGCTAGTGCCATGTATCACTCCATATATTAACTGAATTTGATGTCATCAAGATGATGGTTGAAGAACTTGAATATGTTTGATAGAAAAAAAAAATTATGAATTGTATGAATAACTAGATATTTCTTTTATTGTAAGAGATTTTGGGGGAAGTAAAACATTTTGACTTCTGTCTGCAGATGCCAAGGCCCAGGAAGCTGCTGGATCTGCGTACTATAATCCCTCAGCGCCCCACAATGTCTACATGCCCCAGCAACAGCAGTATGGAGGTTATGGCGCCCCGCCATCCTACTCAGATGTAGTCAACAAGAAAAACCAATAAAACAAGTGATACTAAAAATAACTGACACTAAAAATAAATTTGATATTTAATTGAACTTTAACTATCTGTATTTTTAATGTGTATTTAAAACAAGTTTACATTTTTATCATTGGACAGTTTCCTGAAAAAGAAAAGAATGACTCTATTTATGCACTTACTAGTGGATTATAAAAAGTATTTACATGTATTAATGATAATGCTTTATAAGTACAACATAAGTGCACTGAAATTGCAAGTTACTGTTCACAAATAAGAATCAATTGTATTATAACTGTAATACATTATCACTGGCAAAAATATATATACATTGTTTCATGTACTTTTTGTTATATTTATGATGGAGGTGTTTAATGTGTTAATAGTGACCCTTTATTTTGTTAAAGTGCAGAGATATTACGTATGCATGTAGTAATGATGTGTTATATCAGTCCTGGCTATTGAGATTCTTTTTCAGGTGTTGGCCATCGTTGCTCAGTGTAACATGTTGCTGTTATTTTCATTTATATCCATTCTCAGAATACTGTGTCTGTGCATTTGACTATGGGTCCACTTTTCTTTTCCTGAAGTACATTTTCTTTAAATAAAGAAAAATTGTTGTTTAAAAAAAGAAGTTTTCAGTAAATGTTATTTGTTGAATTAATATTAGGAATCATTAAAGTCTGAGTATGAGGATTAATATACTTTTGTTTTTATGGCAGTAATTACTCTAGTACCTGGTACACTGTATATACAGTTAGGCAAATTAATAGTTGTTATAGCTCTGTTGTTTTCAATAAAATCAGTGACCATGTATTTTTTTTTTTTTGGCTTGTTAAAGTCTGAAAATAATTCACATCAACAATATTATGTGAATGCATGGTTTGATCAGAGAAGTATGATAGTCACTCTGCACTTAAATTTGGAAAGTGGTAAAAAGCTAAAACATGCAGATTAAACCATCAAATGTGCTTCAATTACTCATAATATTATCAGTCAAAATCTATTTCAATTTAGGTATCTTGTTGAATAAAGTCAGTTTTGAATCAAATTGAATGTTATATAAGAATATTGAGAAATGATTGTATAAAATCACTTCATATGTTTACCCTACATTTCCCTTTCTTTTCAGTATAGTTGGTTTTTTAGGGGCACCTTTGGTCGAAATGAAATATGAAGATAACAAACAGTAATCAAGCTCAAAAGTCCATTGAAAAAATACGTATTGGGAGCAGAGGAAACACAGACCTCTAAAATATCAAAGGTGGGGTCAGGTGCCATAGAGGAGTAAGCATCCCTTGTTGACCAGTAACATCCTCCATGTGCTCCTTTTCATGACTGGGTAAATTGAAAAATCTGTAGACAATTGAATGTGAAAATAGTGGCCTAACAATTTGTATGAAAAACATCAGTCAACATTCAACTTAATGATAGATTGTATTTGCCAATAAGGTCATTGTATTGAGGATAGAATTTGTGACGTGTTGGCTTTAAACGAGACTGTTGATATCCTTGTATTATCAACTTATTTGTCAATAGTTTGTTTCATTTGAGAATTTTTTGTAGGTAGAACATGCTCTTGCGTATCAAATCAACTGAGAGGCATAAACTCCATATGCAGGTTACAATGGTATATTACTACATAAATAAAGGAAGTAAATGATTCAGGTCGATAGACAATAGAAAAGTCGAAGTCATCACATTTGTTGTTAGTTTGCCATTAATTAATGTCTTTCGATCTCTCAGACTAGTAAAATATCCAGATATGAAACAGATGTGTCAGACTCTGTGGTATCTCTGAGATCAAAGGGATATAACAAATCAATGCAGGAATAAAAATGAATATTGTTAATTTATAAAACATCGTCCATATAAGGCCACAGCAAGAGACTTTTTCATGTAGAAGTTTCTAAATAAATTTTGCTTCATATTCATAAAAAAAAAAAAAAAAAAATAAACCGAAAATAAGGAAACCTTTTTTTTTTTACATCCAAATTTATATTTATCCCACCCTTTGACCATACTTTGACACAGCTAGTCGCTGGTGTTTTTACATCCATTTCCAATTTTATCCGATTATGTATTTTTGTCTTATTTACAAATATGGATGCGCCCATTGGCCCGATTGGGTCACACGTAAAATTTAGCAACAAATATTGAATTAAATGCTCGCGTATTCATTTCTAAATAACGTGATCTTATGCCACCATTTTATAATTAGGAAAGGAGTATTACAATTCTGACGCGTGGAGACTCATTGTTATTATCATTTGGTACTCGATCATCATCAATGATGTGGACCTGATTACCATCCGAATTTCCTTTATTGAAATTCTTAGCATGCTGATTCCATGTTTTGCGAGAAAGTAAGGGCGATTTAATAACATGTATTTGAAGAGGTTATATTATGAAAATATAACTCTAGATACATATCAATGGAAACCCATTTTTTGTGACAGTCTATTGATACTATCGGGTAATATAAAGTCACCTGTGGTTTGGAGCCTGTAGCTCAAATGGGATATTAGAACAGATCTGAATATATCTAATTTAGAATCCATACAAATATGAAATGAATACACAAGAGTGTGGAAAAAACGTGGCAATAGATAGAATAACAATAAGTAACATGATATACATAATATAACTCATCTTCGCTAGCCAAGGGTTTCTGATACGCTACTCTCCTCATAAACCCTTGGCATACGGTGCTGACAAAAGACGGGATTGTTTTTGTCACATGATCATGATTCTTACCAGGTTTGCACAGATTGCGTCATCGACAGAAATAAAAAGTGTATTTAAAAAAAATTTGTTTTTAAAGAATAATTAATAAGAAGGTATCGAGTTATGTTAATCTGTTATTTAAACATGTAAAAATGCAAATCTACATCTTCAGTATAGATTCTTAATCACATAGTTTGCACGTAGCTTTAGATATTGGATAACACCATATAGCTATTCATAGAATGGCATGTTATCTTACGGATCATTGTTTACTTGCGTTTTACATTACCGATATTAAAGAGTCAAGATATATCCCGAACGCAAATATCGTCATTTACAAAAAACAATTGCTGATTGGTCGAACGATGTCGATCAACTCCAATCACAACATGAGAAAAAAATCCCAACTTTTTTTAACACCGTATGCCAAGGGCTTATGAGGAGAGTAGCGTATCAGAAACCCTTGGCTAGCGAAGATGAATATAACTATAAGTCCTAAAAAAAATTATAGATTTACACTATATTTTTTTTTATAGCTATAACACTTCTACAATGTTTCATGGGTTAATGACTACCATCATAGTCCTACATACAAAATATTTTAGCTCCAATTCCACCTTATACTTGGAAACATACTCAAAACAATATGATTATCTGTAAATATGTTCATTGATGATACATCATAAGCAAAGAGGGATGAGAAAATCATGCATCTGAGAGGAAACCAAAATTTGAACCAGAGATCCTGATAAATGCTTTAAATACTAAGTGTACTATTTATTGTACACTATAGAATGTGTAATCACCACGATTCTTTCCCCTTCTTTTGGGTTTACCTTGACAGGTTTTCAGAAAATGTCTTAATAAATTTTGTTTACATTTTTGTTTAGGAGTGAAATGGCAATATCAAAGTTGAGTTTGCGACTATGTCAAAGAGCCATTGTGTCTCTACACAGATCATACTGCACTGTGTCGCCACGGAATGTCCTCAAACTGAGGGAGAGAGGAGTTGTTCACTCTGTTTTCCCGGCTACACAGTATGTTACAATCATTATAACAACTACTGTATTTTAGCTCATAGTTCTGTAGGGTATTAGTATTAAATCAGTGTAATTGTCATTGTGTTATTTCAGTATTCATGAATTGGAGAAACAGCTAGGTCAGCCGCTGACTGTGTATTGCGGGTTTGATCCTACAGCAGACAGTTTACACATTGGGAACCTCCTCGCCATTATTGCTTTGTTACACTGCCAGAGAGCCGGCCACCACACAATTTGTGTTGTAGGTGTTTATATTTTACTTGTAGTTGATTTGTGATGTAGGGACTTACTTTTTACTTGTAAATGTATTTGATTTATGTTGTGTGTTTTATAAAATTTGTTAGGAAGATAAAAGTATAAGATTTACTGAAGGTAAAGTCATCATGGATACAAAGTAACCCAGTTTGCAAACTTGCATGAATCAATAACATTAAATGGTGCAGCTTTGCAAACTTGATTACTTTTTGTATCAGTGTAATTATTTTTGTATCAGTGTAATTATTTTTGTATCAGTGTAATTATTGGTATGCATTAAGAAATTTTGTAAAACATGTACATACCTGATGTAGGTGGGAGGGGCCACAGCTCAAATTGGTGATCCCTCAGGGAGAACTAAAGACAGAGACCCCATGAAGCCAGAGGTTGTGGAGAGAAATGTTGCCTCCATTACTGAAAGTCTAGAGAGAATATTCTCCAATCACCAGCGGTACTTCTGGAGGAACCAAAGCAGGGAGCTTCCAGCTGTCAGGTGATAACACAAATGAACACTTCAGGGAATTTCTTGTGATAAGAATTTTGTCTTAAGTTTACCACATGAGCACTGATTTCTATGTGATTAATTTTTTGTATGTGTTGCAGGATTTTGAACAACATTGATTGGTACAGCAAGAAGAGTGTGATAGATTTCTTATCAACATTAGGCAGAAAGTTTAGGGTGGGCAGCATGATGCACATGTCCAGGTACAAAGTGACTACTGGTAATACATGTACCAGTACATAAAAAGATGGTAATGTTAAAAAAATACATGTACAGTTTTTTTTTTACTTTGTCTAGGATACAATGTGAATTGTAAAATTGTATAGTGGTAGTCATGATGGAGATTTAAAACTTGTCCACAAATACAAACTTGTCAGGCAAGTCAAAAATTTTTTTGAAGATACTGAAATTTCTTCTTTTTTTTTTTTTGTGAATTCTGCAGTGTGAAGACACGAATGGAGTCAGAGGAAGGACTGAGTTTAACAGAATTTACCTATCAGGTGTTTCAGGCCTGTGACTGGCTTCACCTGTATGAAAACTATAACTGTACTGTTCAGGTAAGTCTTACCTATCAGGTGTTCCAGGCCTGTGATTGGCTTCACCTGTATGAAAACTATAACTGTACTGTACAGGTAAGTCTTACCTATCAGGTGTTCCAGGCCTGTGACTGGCTTCACCTGTATGACAACTATAACTGTACTGTACAGGAAAGTCTTACCTATCAGGTGTTCCAGGCTTGTGACTGGCTTCACCTGTATGAAAACTATAACTGTACTGTACAGGTAAGTCTTACCTATCAGGTGTTCCAGGCCTGTGACTGGCTTCACCTGTATGAAAACTACAGTTGTCCCATTCTGGTAAGAATTCACTCATACAAAAGCTTCATCACCTACTCCAAGTAAGATTTCCCCTGTATAACAATTACACCTGTACTGTCCAGGTAAAATGCACCTGTACAATAATTACAAATTTACCTGTATTAAAACTACTGTATCTGTATGGAGACTTCAGCTATTCCTAAATAGAAACAAGTTGTAATCTTCATTTAAAACTATCATGTAGGTGAATCTGGAGGACAGATATACCTATCTATCTATCTTTTGATTACGTACATTTATCTATTTGTTTGTCTACCTTTACTTGATCAAGTTAAATTTTTACTAATTGGGAAGTACATGTAAGTCTTTAAGAATTTTAAAAATTGTAAGAACTACTTTGAAATTGATAAAAACTGTACCTGTGTAATCCACTAATGAATCTGAAGTTTTGTGCAGCAGTTACAAAATAATGAATACTGTTATGTAATATACATGAATATGTTTATAATATATTACAGAGAACCAAACACTTTCAAATGAATTGTATTTCTATTCAATTGTTATTTTTACACAGACTTTATATGAGATGTACTATATACAGGGTAATTTTTGCCCCATATTATTTTCACCCTTTCACACTTTCAAACAATTTAGCCCCATTTTAATTTCGCCCAGTCACAGTTCTGTTTAAGAAATTATATTGTGTTCTTTGAATTCACCCCGTTTTAAATTTGCCCACCTATGAGTAAGGCGAAAGGGGTGAAAATGCAATGGGGGCAAAAATTTGCCTGTATACAGTAGCTTGAATGTTATTTATATAGGTTGGAGGGAGTGATCAGCTGGGGAACATTGTATCAGGTTATGAATTCCTCACCAAGATACACAAGAGACTTTTCTTTGGTGAGTACTATTTACAGTTTTATGTCCATCGGGAGATTTTGAGGTCACAGATGTATTGTAGCAGTTTATAGGAGGAATTGTAGGATAGACTGAACAGATCTGTATTTGTGTTACTCTGTATAACAGGACTAATGGTGCCATTGTTAACAACTTCTGGTGGAGAGAAATTAGGGAAAAGTGCCAACAACTCAGTATGGTTAAATCCGGACAAAACAACACCATTTCATCTGTACCAGGTAAAATCTTCATTTATATATAATACTCTTTTAAAAAAAAACAATGACACAATGATATTCCGTATATTCAAATGTAGAGTCACCAGTGATGAAGTCACTTCGATATAATCATCAGGGGCAAGTTAAATTCTTCATTAAAATTGTATTATTTTCCAGCATTTTATTAACTTCCCTAATGTTAAATTCTTCATTAAACTTGTGTTATTTTCCAGCATTTTATTAACCTCCCTGATGCTGATGTAGAGACTTACCTCAAGCTGTTTACATTCCTGACAAAAAGTGAGATTCAGGACTGCTTAGCTGACCTGAGGGTGTGTAAAAAATAGAGACAATATAGAGATGTATAGCAGAACAGAGGGCATGTAGGAAATAGAAACAATATAAAGATGTATAGCAGAACAGAGGGTGGGTAAAAATAGAGACAATATAAAGATGTATAGCAGAACAGAGGGTGTGTAAAAATAGAGACAGTATAGAGATGTGTAGCAGAACAGAGGGTGTGTAAAAATAGAGACAAAATAGAGATGTGTAGTAGAACTGAGGGTGTGTAAAAATAGGGACAATATAGAGATGTGTAGCAGAATAGAGGGTGTGTAAAAATAGAGACAGTATAGAGATGTGTAGCAGAACAGAGGGTATGTAAAAATAGGGACAATATAGAGATGTGTAGCAGAACAGAGGGTGTGTAAAAATAGAGACAGTATAGAGATGTGTAGCAGAACAGAGGGTGTGTAAAAATAGAGACAGTATAGAGATGTGTAGCAGAACAGAGGATGTGTAAAAATAGAGACAATATAGAGATGTGTAGCAGAACAGAGGGTGTGTAAAAATAGAGACAATATAGAGATGTGTAGCAGAACAGAGGGTGTGTAAAAATAGAGACAATATAGAGATGTGTAGCAGAACAGGGGTGTGTAAAAATAGAGACAATATAGAGATGTATAGCAGAATAGAGGGTGTGTAAAAATAGAGACAATATAGAGATGTGTAGCAGAACACAGGGTGTGTAAAAATAGGGACAATATAGAGATGTGTAGCAGAATAGAGGGTGTGTAAAAATAGAGACAGTATAGAGATGTGTAGCAGAACAGAGGGTGTGTAAAAATAGAGACAGTATAGAGATGTGTAGCAGAACAGAGGGTGTGTAAAAATAGAGACAATATAGAGATGTGTAGCAGAACAGAGGGTGTGTAAAAATAGAGACAGTATAGAGATGTGTAGCAGAACAGAGGATGTGTAAAAATAGAGACAATATAGAGATGTGTAGCAGAACAGAGGGTGTGTAAAAATAGAGACAATATAGAGATGTGTAGCAGAACAGAGGGTGTGTAAAAATAGAGACAATATAGAGATGTGTAGCAGAACAGGGGTGTGTAAAAATAGAGACAATATAGAGATGTGTAGCAGAACAGAGGGTGTGTAAAAATAGAGACAATATAGAGATGTGTAGCAGAACACAGGGTGTGTAAAAATAGGGACAATATAGAGATGTGTAGCAGAATAGAGGGTGTGTAAAAATAGAGACAGTATAGAGATGTGTAGCAGAACAGAGGGTGTGTAAAAATAGAGACAGTATAGAGATGTGTAGCAGAACAGAGGGTGTGTAAAAATAGAGACAATATAAAGATGTATAGCAGAACAGAGGGTGTGTAAATATAGAGACAATATAGAGATGTGTAGCAGAACAGAGGGTGTGTAAAAATAGAGACAGTATAGAGATGTGTAGCAGAACAGAGGATGTGTAAAAATAGAGACAATATAGAGATGTGTAGCAGAACAGAGGTTGTGTAAAAATAGAGACAATATAGAGATGTGTAGCAGAACAGAGGGTGTGTAAAAATAGGGACAATATAGAGATGTGTAGTAGAACAGAGGGTATGTAAAAATAGGGACAGTATAGAGATGTGTAGCAGAACAGAGGGTGTGTAAAAGATAGAGACAGTATAGAGATGTGTAGCAGAATAGAGGGTGGGTAAAAGATAGAGACAATATAGAGATGTGTAGCAGAACAGAGGGTGTGTAGGAAATAGAGACAATAAAGAGATGTGTAGCAGAACAGAGGGTGTTTAAAAATAGAGACAATATAGAGATGTGTAGCAGAATAGAGGGTGGGTAAAAGATAGAGACAATATAGAGATGTGTAGTAGAACAGAGGGTATGTAAAAATAGAGACAGTATAGAGATGTGTAGCAGAACAGAGGGTGTGTGAAAGATAGAGACAATATAGAAATGTGTAGCAGAATAGAGGGTGGGTAAAAGATAGAGACAATATAGAGATGTGTAGCAGAACAGAGGGTGTGTAGGAAATAGAGACAATATAGAGATGTGTAGCAGAACAGAGGGTGTTTTAAAAATAGAGACAATATAGAGATGTGTAGCAGAATAGAGGGTGTGTAGAAATAGAGACAATATAGAGATGTGTAGCAGAACAGAAGGTGTGTAAAAATAGAGACAGTATAGAGATGTGTATCTGTATGGAAGATGGGAGGAAATAGAGACCACTTAGAATTTTATTGGCTGTGACACAGAGGGTGGTGAGGAAGTGGAGAGGAAGTGGAGATAATTTAGGACGGTGTAGCTTATCAGAGAATGGATAGATAAAAAAATAGATATATTCCAGAACAGAATAGCTAACCTGAGATTTGAAGTGAAAAAAAGATATTTGATCTTAGAATGTGTAGGAATTGAAGATAATAAAGTATTGTATAGCAGAGCAGGGGATGGGTTGGATTACTGGTTGATTAATTTTAGGAATGTTAATTGAGTTGATCTGAAATGGAATGGAATATACATATGTAAGTGAACTCAGACAATAGCTGATCTTAGATTGGGTAGAAAATAGAAATGATATAAATTTTTGTCATTGATCTTAGGAAAGGGTGTGTTATATAGATAATCTAGGACTCCACAGCTGACCAAAAGTAGGGTAGGAAAGGAAATGGTGAAGCATTTAGCAAGTTTCTGATCGACAATACTCAGGATGTTGTTTTGTGCATGTGTTTGCAATAAGTTTAAAAAAAATCAATTGTTTAACTAAATTTCCTAATTTGTTGTAATTCTGAATAATCTCCCCTGTTCCTGATAGGACAGACCAGAATTAAGAAGATCCCAGAAAACAATAGCAGAGGAAGTAGTTAAACTGGTTCATGGAGGTAAATTTAATTTTAAAGGACATAAGTTTGGTATTTACTATTTAAATGTGGATGATGTGCAATTTTATGTTATCCTTGACTAATCATTCAGTCAATTTAAATATCAAGGTAAAAACTCTGTGATAGTTAAGGTCGATATCAAATAAGATTGTCTTTGGAACATATTTGTTTCACTGATACATGATTTTTTTAAAGCAATATGAGCTGCATTGTTGAGAGTTTTATTTTGCTGTTAAAATGTGCTGTCATGATAAATCTGATGTAATTTAAACCTTTATGATCAATTAGACTTAAATAAAATATTACATTTTTTCAGGAGAAAGGTTTCTGTACAATGGAATGTATAGTATTATATAAGAAATCAATATTCTAGAGGACGACAATAATGTAATTTTGCTTAAATCAAAGCTTCGAGAAATAGTTCTTTCATCGCAAATACAAACAACAGAAGTTTATAAATGTTCTTTTTTCTGTCATTGATATTGTTAATTACAATTTTGCAACAGAAATTTCCGACATCAGAGTTGCAGCTCATATTGCTTTAAGCATGTACCTTGCTGTGTAGTCTTTTGTTTTTGTTTTTTTTTAAACAAAACAAATCAAATTCCATCACCAGAGGTAGGACTGGAGCAGGCATTGAGATGGACAGATGTGTTTTATAATCAGAAGGTAGAGACCCTGGCTGTTCTTACTGACCTGGAGGTCAACATCCTGTTTAGGAATTCCCCCATCACCTCCCTCCCACTATCTCCTGGACTGAGACTGGCCGATGTCTGTAACAGAATCAAGGTCTTCAAAAATGAAGGTAAATTTATTGAGCAACTTATAAAGTTTGAATTCATTAAGCTTTCAAGTTGCAAACCCTCTCTTGATTGGATACTGTAAACGTACTTATTTAGCAGTAATCATATTTAGCGCCTTTCACGCTGCTTCATGTCCCCTACTTAATGTCCACACAACATGATTTAAAATTATACTTGTTGTTCTCAAGACTTAAATATGCTAATTTATGAATGTGCTAATCAGCTGAAGAGGATGATCGAGCTTAATTTTGAGTGTGCTAATTTATGTATCTTTACAATACTGTAGATTCCTAAATATATGCGAGGAATTAATTATTGCACAATTTCGTGAGATGCTCCACTCGCGAAATAAAATTACTCGCTTTTATTTTTATGGTGCTGAACTCTATATAAAATCTAATGATCAACTGCCCACTTGCAATTTGATGTCTAAGAGGCATTTCGTGTAAAATAAGGAATCTACAGTATCATTGATCATTGAAATCTGATCTCTAAATTTGCTATAATGTGCTCCGTCAAGTTTGACACTGATAGAAACTGAGTCTGTCTCTAAATCTTTATCGTAAAGGTGAAGCGGAGGAGAAGATAAAGTCGGGTCAGGTGAAGGTGAATTTTAGACAAGAGAAGAACCCTGACACAGTGCTGAGAGAAATGGAACACATTCTGCCAAATGACATCACTCTCATAACTCAGGGTAAAATCTGAATACATCACTAGGGATTTTTATACTGTAAAGCAACATAAATGCTAAGATTACTTCAATTTTTTTATGGTAATATTTTTTTTGCTACTTTTTCAAGGTATAAACACACACAGATACAAAGCATTGCTTTAGCAGATTTTTTTTTAATTTCAGGGAGAAAGATTCACCATGTTATCAAGTGGGCATCCTAGTGATTATAAGACATAGGTTTTATATGTGTGGATAATAGTAATCAAAACATAGTGAACTGACTCTGAAGTATTGCTCCTAGAATGGCGCTGATGATAGACTTGGTGTGAATAATAAATTCATTGATTGTTTAAGTACTTCACTGTTGTTTTGAAAACTGTGTTATGTCTGAGCTGTTGTGGCATAATCAAGTACAGTTGTACTTTGGTATTTTGAACACTGATATCTTAAATACCATGGATATGTCAAAGTGATTTGAATGTCCAAAACACTTTTTCTTTATATATTTACCCTCAGTATCTTGAATTCTCAGCTATCTGGAATGTTTATCTCAGTCCCATTGAGTTCAAGATAATGAGGTTTGACTGTATATGTTACTTTCTTCTTTCATGTGATAGAAATTTTTCACTGTAAAAGTGATATCTTTCACTGTGAAAATATAAAAAGTACAGCATAACTTGAGATTTTTCATTCCCTTCACAAAGTTTGTCATAAAAAATACTCCTGTTACAAGATAGCAAGAGTAAATAAGCCTGACTGACTAAAACTGCCAGAGTTTCTACAAATTGTTTATATCAATGATTACAATTTTCAATCTCACAATCCCTTTGCCATGATGTCTTGCAACTCAACTCAAAGTCGTCATAGCCTACGACACTCTGTGAGACATGTTTTCATTCATGCTTCATCAAATAACCAACTTGTGCAATAATTTCCGTATCTAAGTACAAAACATTGAATATCCTCTACTTTTTTTTTTTAAAAAAAAAAGAAGATTACAGGTAATTTTCCTCAGAGTATATATTAAGTAGCTTGTTTATCACTTTCAGTAATAAGATGTGGTATAAATATACTTAATGTAGGACCAATGTGCATGGAAATGGTTTAAAAAGAAATTAAAGAGTGATAAATCTCTTTTTTATGATGCAAGTACGTGTGCAAGTAAAGTTTTATAACACAAAAATCTAACTTTTTAAATGCATTCAATCTGTAAATTGGCTGGAAAGACACTATATGATTTTCTTTCCAGATTAATTAAAGGCAAAAAAAGCTAATACGCTGTGTTGTTTTTTTTTGGGTGTTTTTTTGTTTTTGTTACATTTTAGTATATTTCAGAAATATGAATTTTTAGTTACAGATGTAATGTTTAAGAAAAATGTCTCGTTAACATGTTGAGTTTTTAGCTCACCTGAGCCGAAGGCTCAAGTGAGCTTTTCTGATCACATTTTGTCTGTAGTCCGTCTGTCCGTCCGTCTGTCCGTCTGTAAACTTTTCACATTTTCGACTTCTTCTCCAGAACCACTGGGCCAATTTCAACCAAACTTGCCACAAAGTATCCTTGGGTATAGGGGATTCAAGTTTGTTCAAATGAAGGGCCACGCCTTCTTCCAAGGGGAGATAATTAAGAATTCGTGAAAAATTAATGGCATCATTAAAAAATCTTCTTCTCAAGAACCACTGTGCTTGAAAATATGAAACTTATGTGGAAGCATCCTCAGGTAGTGTAGATTCAAGTTTGTTCAAATCATGACCCCTGGGGGTCGGGTGGGGCCACAATGGGCGATCAAAGTTTTACATAGGAATATATAGGAAAAATCTTTAAAAATCTTCTTCTCAAGAACAGCAAAGCCATGATTGGTCATATTTATATGGTAGTATCCTCAGATAGTGTAGATTCAAGTTTGTTCAAATCATGACCCCCGGGGGTCGGGTGGGGCCACAATGGGGGATCAAAGTTTTACATAGGAATATATAGGAAAAATCTTTAAAAATCTTCTTCTGAAGAACAGCAAAGCCATGATTGGTCATATTTACATGGAATCATCCTCAGGTAGTGTAGATTCAAGTTTGTTCAAATCATGACCCACGGGGGTAGGGTGGGGCCACAATGGGCGATCAAAGTTTTACATAGGAATATATAGGAAAAATCTTTAAAAATCTTCTTCTCAAGATCAGCAAAGCCATGATTGGTCATATTTACATGGAAGCATCCTCAGGTAGTGTAGATTCAAATTTGTTCAAATCATGACCCCCGGGGGTCGGGTGGGGCCACAATGGGCGATCAAAGTTTTACATAGGAATATATAGGAAAAATCTTTAAAAATCTTCTTCTCAAGAACAAAAAAGCCACAATTAGTCATATTGATATGGAATCATCCTCAGGTAGTGTAGATTCAAGTTTGTTCAAATCATGACCCACAGGGGGTAGGGTGGGGCCACAATGGGGATCAAAGATTTACATTTGAATATATAGTAAAATTCTTTAAAAAATCTTCTTCTCAAGAACAACAAAGCCACAATTAGTCATATTGATATGGAATCATCCTCAGGTAGTGTAGATTCAAGTTTGTTCCAATCCTGACCCCAGGGGGTAGGGTGGGGCCACAATGGGCGATCAAAGTTTTACATAGGAATATATAGTAAAATTCTTAAAAAAATCTTCTAAAGAAAAATCAAAGCCACAATTAGTCATATTGATATGGAATCATCCTCAGGTAGTGTAGATTCAAGTTTGTTCCAATCCTGACCCCAGGGGGTAGGGTGGGGCTACAATGGGGGATCAAAGTTTTACATAGGAATATATAGGAAAAATCTTTTCAAGAACAGGAAAGGCATGATTAGTCATATTGATATTGAAGCATCCCCAAGTATTGTAGATTCAAGTTTGTTCAAGGCATCCTCCAGTAGTAGGCTGGGGCCATAAGGGGGATCAAAGTTTAACAAAAGAACATAAATAGGAAATATCTTTAAAAATCTTCTTCTCAAGACTAACAAAGCCATGATTAGTCATATTGATATGGAAGCATCCTCAGGTAGTGTAGATTCAAGTTTGTTCATCCCCCCCCCCCCCCCCCCCATAGGGTGGCAGACATCTTTAAAGTTCTGTTTTCAAGAACAGCAAAACCATGATTAGTATGAATATAGAAGCATCCTCAGAAAGTTTAGATTCATTTTCATTAAAAACATGGCAACTGGGGGTAGGGTATGCCTAGAACAGGCGATCAAAGCTTTACATATGAATATATAGGAGAAGAAATCTGCTGAAGAAGAACAGCAGGGCCATATTGACTCAGGTGAGCGTTGTGGCCCATGGGCCTCTATTGAAAAAGTATTCATAGTTTTCAATTTTATCCGATTTTTTTTTTTTCAATTGCGGAATGATGTAACGTAGGCATGCCTGTAACGTAGGTTTTGATTGGCTGAGTTCAGTAACGAGAAGAAAAGGACCGACGACGACAGGCGACACGAGGCTACTAGTTGAGTTTCATTAACTGTTTCCGTCTAGTTTATTGTTTACAGGTAATATCTAAAGGTTGAAAAACTCTCTTACTCATCTTTTACTAGTCTTAATAATACAGTTTTGATTGTGAAATAGATGCATAGCACGGTGTTTATTAGAGGAAATGCGGACTTGCGTTGATCATTGTGTGGGACTTGCATCATGATGAGCTGACAGCAGCACCGGCACTAATTTCTGGAAAAGTAAGCTATCTCAAGTCTTTTTTTTATGATAAATGGATTCTAATTTGACTGCTGTCATCAATCTGACTAAAGCCAGACCTCTAATAGAGGTCTGGCTCACAGGGGCTTGCTCCCGGCGTGTAATAATTATTTATTAAAAAAAAAAAAATCATATACGTTAATACTAAAACTACACAAGGGAGGACGCCATTTTGAACCCCTTCCTCGCTTCAACCTCTGTTTTCGTTATATTTTCCCATATTCTACTGACTCACCGCCTCGGATCTGTCGAGTAATGATTCTTCTAGGACATAATGCTTAAATTTTCCCCTTGGAGCCTCTACAATACACATTTCAGACTAATAATAATCCAAACTCGCTTTTTAGGACAGTTGATAGGGACAGAAAACGAAAACACATTCGAAAATCTCGGGGTTTTTCTACTAGTTAACACAGCTGCTAATTATAAATTTGAAAAAACCGCGTTCTAATTCCGTATTCAAATGTAAAACGCCGAGGTTACTTTCGTTTTCTGTCCCTATCAACTGTCCTAAAGAGCAAGTTTGGATTATTATTAGTCTGAAATGTGTATTGTAGAGGCTCCAAGGGGAAAATTTAAGCATTATGTCCTAGAAGAATCATTACTCGACAGATCCGAGGCGGTGAGTCGGTGAGTCAGTAGACTACGGGAAAATATAAAATATACGTTTTTTTCTGTCAAGGAATTTTCGGTAGTTGATAGTGCCCCCCAACTGAAAATGTATGGTATGTGCCCCCCCCCCCCCCCCCCCCGGAACCGAAATTGCTTCCTACGGACCTGCAGTGACCGATAGAGATGAAGTAGGTTTAGTTAAAATAAATGTAAAAGAGTAATATTGTAAATACTCATGTTACCAATTTATTTTTATAAGTATTTTAATTATATATATCTTATAATCTCGGTGAGATTTGTTGAGACTAAATCCCAGACTAGTGTCATACAAAGTGACTCGGGGAAATCTTTCCTGGACTTCGACTGCTTGTTTTGATCAATACAGGCTGAAATGAATTCCTTGCCCACTTCAACTTTTTGCTTTGGACATCCTTTTAACTCCCTATCACTATAAAACTTTTGTTTCTTACCTTTTAAAGGTTTAAATCCAACCAAAATCAAGTTGTTGATTTTTTCATAGCACTGACATATTTGTTCAAACCTCCAACGCCGAAGAGTTCCAGCAATACTTCGTTCTACTATGATTTCCTGTAGAAATGAACCATAGTACGAAGATTTCCCTGAGTCACTTTGTGTGACACTAGTCTGAGATTCGTATGAAACCTCTGTCCAAAATTTTAAGTCTCGACAAATTTCGCTTAGATTATATATCTTTTAGCCATTAATTCATAGGAGTGACGTGAATGAAGCTCAAGGCTAGGATTTTGATTAATTTCTTAGGGGCTTGGTTTCAGGATGTTGTATTTTATTCATTGTGTGTCTTTCTATGTCTAGATAATATATTGATTATCATAAAAATCAAAAATCGCTGAAATTTGTAGTTTTTGAAAGTCATATTTCAAATGTGCAGAAAAAAATAAATGGGTTGACACTCGCCATCTTGGATTCCAGGGAGTGCCTCAGATCACACTTGATTTTAATCAATATCTACACTTTTTCTACTGGTGTCGGATGAGATGTAGCTTCAAAAATGATTGAATAACTCCCTTCTATCATCTGCTGCAGATATGCACTTGCCATATAAAATATGCAGTGAACCAAAACGTCCTTGATACCTAGCACTGAAATCAAAAGCAACTGAAGTGATGATTTCTAACTATGTAAAGTGTAGAAGCGTCCTGTAATTACATGGAAATCTAGAGAGAACAAGTTTGGTGCAGCTTCTGGCCTCTCTAGACTTCCTGTGCAATTCCAAAATACTTTTAATCTTCTATATTTACTTTTTTATGTTTAGACTAGAATTGAACCAAATCTGAAGCTGAATAAACAGTCTCTGAAGAAGCATCTAGTATTGTGAATTCTTTAAATGATGTAAATCACAATAATGGCAGAGGGCAATTCCTCAAAGGACATACCCCGAGGGCTAATCAGCAGAAGGGGCCTGCCCTCAGGGAGAGGAACTAGGTACGTTTTAAAATCACAAGCAGTGCATTATACTACAGTCAAACTTTATTTTGAAGGTAAAAGTGATTTCAGGGATAGTCTCAATTTTGCAAATGGTTTTTTCCAAGAATTTTTAAAAAGTATATTCCTGAACATGGTAACAATTGTTAACGATATGAATTTTTAGGTCACCTGAGTCACTCAGGTGACCTATTGCTATCTGTTTTCGTCCGTCGTCGTGCGTCGTCCGTCGTCCATCATCCGTCGTGTGTTAACATTTGAACATTTTCAGCTTCTTCTCTGAAACCGCTGAACCAATTTCAGCCAATTTTAGCATATGGCATCTATGTCTAAAGGGGAACAAAAATTGTGAATTTCATGGTCCCTGCCCCCTGGGGCCTGAGGGGTGGGGCTAAAACCACCAAAATTAATGTAATCTTTAAAAATCTTCTTCTTTACTCCTGGACATCAAGCAGTCAAACTGTTAGCATGATTGTAATAAGCATTGAGCCCTCTACCAGAATTGTGAAATTCATGGCCCCAGGATCAGGGGTTCTGGTGCTAGGGTGGGGCTATATAGATCATATAGTGAAAATGCCTTATTTCTTTGAAAATTTTCTTCTCTGCTCTTGAGTATTAAAGAAACTAACTAAGTACATAGCTATAATGAGCATGGCTGCCTCCTCCAAAATTGTGAATTTCATGGCCCCTGGGTCAGGGTTTCTGGTGTTGGGGGGGGGGGGGGCTCTATTGATTATATAGTGAAAATGCATTATATCTTTAGAATCTTCTCCTCTGCTGCTGGGTATGAAATAAACTAACTAAGTACATAGTTTTAATGAGCATGACTGCCTCTTCCAAAATTGTGAATTTCATGGCCCCTGGGTCAGGGGTTCTGGTGTTGGGGGGGGGGGGGGCTCTATTGATTATATAGTGAAAATGCATTATATCTTTGAAAATCTTCTTCTCTGCTCATTGGTATTAAATAAATTAACTAAGTACATAGTTATGATGAGCATAGCTGCCTCTTTCAGAATTGTGAATTTCATGGCCCCTGGGTCAGGGGTTCAGGTGTTAGGGTGGGGCTCTATTGTTTATATAGTGAAAATGCCTTATATCTTTGAAAATCTTCCTCTCTGCTCATTGGTACGAAATAAGCTAACTAAGTACATATTTATGATGAGCATAGCTGCCTCTTTCAAAATTGTGAATTTCATGGCCCCTGGGTCAGGGGTTCTGAAGAATGGGGGGGGGCTCTATTAATTATATAGTGAAAATTCATAATTTCTTTCAAAACATTTTTTTTCTACTCCTGGTTATAAAGCAAAGAAACAAGTGCATAGTTATGATGAGCAAGGATGCTTTTACAAAATTTTTTAAACTTGTGGTCCCAGGGGTTCTGTTGTTTCACTGAAGGAGGGGGGGGGGGGCTCTATTTGATTTTATACTGAAAATGTGTGAATTCTTTGAAAATCTTCAACTAATTGCATAGTTATGATGATGAGGGTACCTCTTCCAAATTTGTAAATTTTCATGACCCAAGGTCATGGGTTCTGGTGTTAGGGTAGGGCTGTGTTAAATAGTGAAAATGCATTATTTCTTCGAAAATCTCCTCTGCTCCTGGGCATATTGGAAGCAAACAGAGTAAAAGTTTTAATAAGCAAGGGTATTTTTACCAGAATTTTGAACATCTGGACCATTTAGTCAAGTGTTCTGGCCCTGGCCAGGGCTCTATTAATTTGTATTCTGTTGAGTGAAGTTATTCCCCTTTCCATTCACTTTTGATAATTAATCACTGTAGATAATGTATTTGAAAGGTTAATAGATTAAGAGAATTATGCAAGAACATTTATTATATAATACAAAAAGTACTTTCATAGTTTTTATAATCAGGTAGACTTGGAAATAATAGATGAATAAAAATGAAACAAAAATAACTTATATTTATACCCCACGCAACAAGTTGCGTGAGGTATAATGTTTTTGACCCGTCCGTCAGTCAGTCAGTGTGTCAGTCAGTCAGTCAGTGTGTCAGTCAGTCAGTCAGTCCGTCAGTCCTGTTTTTTTGTCAGCGCAACTCCTCAAAAACCGCTGCACAGAATTTCGTCAAACTTTGCAGATATTTAGGACACAATGTGTAGATGTGCATATTACCAGGAAATTCTGATTCCTTTATTTTTTCTCGGAATTTCGGCACTTTTCAACTTAGATTTTTGGCCATATCTTCAATATGGAGATGAACAGTTTGTCAGCGCAACTCCTCATAAACCGCTGCACAGAATTTGGTCAAACTTTGCAGATATTTAGCACACAATGTATAGATGTGCATATTACCAGGAAATTCCGATTCCTTTATATTTTCTGGGAATTTCGGCACTTTTCAACTTAGATTTTTGGCCATATCTTGAATATAAAGATGAACAGTTTGTCAGCACAACTCCTCTTAAACCGCTGCACAGAATTTGGTCAAACTTTGCAGATATTTAGGACACAATGTGTAGATGTGCATATTACCAGGAAATTCCGATTCCATTATTTTTCTGGGAATTTCAGCACTTTTCAACTTGGATTTTGGCCATATCTTGAATATAGAGATGAACAGTTTGTCAGCGCAACTCCTCTTAAACCGCTGCACAGAATTTGGTCAAACTTTGCAGATATTAAGTACACAGTGTGTAGATGTGCATATTACCAGGAAATTCCGATTCCGTATTTTTCTGGGAATTTCGGCACTTTTCAACTTAGGTTTTTGGCCATATCTTGAATATAGAGGTGAACAGTTTGTCAGCACAACTCCTATTAAACCGCTGCATAGAATTGGGTCAAACTTTGCAGATATTTAGCACACAATGTATAGATGTGCATATTACCAGGAAATTCCGATTCCTTTATATTTTCTGGGAATTTCGGCACTTTTCAACTTAGATTTTTGGCCATATCTTGAATATAAAGATGAACAGTTTGTCTGCGCAACTCCTCTTAAACCGCTGCACAGAATTTGGTCAATCTCTGCAGATATTTAGTACACAGTGTGTAGATGTGCATATTACCAGGAAATTCTGATTCCATTATTTTTTCTCGGAATTTCGGCACTTTTCAACTTAGATTTTTGGCCATATCTTGAATATAGAGATGAACAGTTTGTCAGCACAACTCCTCTTAAACCGCTGCACAGAATTTGGACAAACTTTGCAGATATTTAGTACACAGTGTGTAGATGTGCATATTACCAGGAAATTCCGATTCCATTATTTTTGCCTTAAGAGTTTTGCCTTTTATTGAAGAAACTTTCCAGCTAGGTAATAAGAAACTCCACTGGAATCAGCTTTTTATAATGAAATTCTATGTGAAATATTTTATGACCTTAAAAGACCCCTATTGATTTTGAGATCAAAATATTAATGGTTTAACACAAACACACACTCACACACACACCATCTTCGATAGTTCTGTCTCCCCCCCCCCCCCCCCCCCCCCTTCAAATTGGTGTGCTTTGCCTTAAATAATTTCATAAGTACAGTATATAAACAGATTCATATGACTACATCATAATTTTGTTTCCATCAATTATTTAAATGTGTAAACTGTCATGTGTTGGACATGGACTTGCACTCATTAACAAATCGAAATCACTGAGGAATTTAAATAACAGTTTGTCAGCATAATTCCGGCACTGAATTTCCTGAAACTTTGTAGGTATTTCAGAATAATGTATAGATTTGTATATTACCAAGACCAAGAAATTTTGATTCCATTATTTATCTAGAAACTTCAGCCCAGTTAAATTTGTAACATACAAAGATTTGAATGTCCTTATATGCAAGAAGTTTTGATGTGATGATTTTTTGCAAGTAATGCCCCTTTTTTGAATTATACTGTGTATTTAAAATGCACTGTGCCATTCATTACGTGTTGCATTGTCGAGTTTTGGGGAAGCGTGGGGTATGTGAGCTTGCTCACTTTTTCTTTCATCTTAAATGTTCTTCAAAAGCCAAGTGAGGCCAATGTGAGAGGTAATAATATAGACATTTTGTTAAAAGTCTGTATGGTAATAGTAATAAATGGGGGACAGATAGGAAGATACTAGACCAATTATTTTGTTGATCAGAATCGTACTATTTTTCTTGCTATTGGACAACAAAGCTTCATTTATCAGTTGATGGATCCTCTAAATTGTTGTACTCAGGTGACCGTTAAGGCCCTTGGGCCTCTTGTTTTTTATTACAGACTGCCTTCAATAGGGAAGCCTAGAGACCTTACATTAGGAGGGGTACCAAAGAAAGTTTTTACCCCCAACATCCCTGCTAGGAGAGATAAGAGTGCTGACAAGTATGTGGATGATTTATTAATGAGATGCATAGGGAAAAATAAGAATAGAAAAGGTCTGTGGCTGAAAAAATATGTATGTAATCTTTTCAAAAGATTTTATTTGGTAATAAGAGTTCGTTCAATGGCTAGATTTCTATTCAAAGATTTTCTTTGTTATTTAAGTAAATGTGTAGAAATAATTATTTAGTATCTCTGATTTGAATTACTTTTCAAACTAGTACATATATTTTAGAACTGAAGAGAAAGGAGAAGGGAAGAAGGAAGGAAAACAAAAACCAGAGAAATCTGGAGGAAAAGATGAGCGAGGTAGAGGCAGAGGACGTGGCCGGGGCAGAGGAAGGGGGCGGGGCCAGGATGTCATTCAGTCCCACTCCATCTTTGAACAAGGCCCAACAGAGAAGATGGCAAAAGGTTAGTTAAAGCACTGTTTTAGACCCGCATAAAATGGTAGAGGCAAATATCTGGTTTTCTTACTCTCTGATTTTATGTTTAGTGTATGCAATATTTAAGACATGCTAAATCTAAAAATATTGAGTTTATGGCCATTTAAAAGCCAGGGCTCCACATTAACTTTTTTTCCTACTTGTCCATTCAGACAAGTAACCAAGACATTTACTTGTCCGAACTTCAACTTCACTTGTCTGAAAAATTTTCAATAAAGATCTAATACTGTTAACTGAAAAACTAAAAATAAAGTCCATTACATGTGCATGATGTTATTTATAAATACAACAAACACATAAAACAAAATTTTATCTAGACTTTCTGCCCTGACAACATAAATGCTGTCAACATAAAACAGACAAACTTCGTCAGTTCCCTGCCTTTGCAGTAGTATGCAATTAGTGAACTTCGATCCCTATCGAGTGTACTCAATTACATCGGGATCGAAGTTCGGTTTTCATGTACTGTTTCTGTCTTAAAGTACTGGTAAACTTTCAACAGTCGTTCTTTATTTAATATTTAGAGACTTCTTTACATAAAAATGCACTTGTCCAATCAGACAAGTGCCCATCAATATTCACTTGTCCGTATTTTTTTTTCACTGGTACCAGACAAGCGGACAAGCGTTAATGTCGAGCCCTGAAAGCATGTACAATTTACTTGGAAAAACATGTGCATGGCATATAAACTTAACTGAAGATCATACTAAAATTGTACTATTCTTAACCCTGAATTGGGAATACTTACAATTTAAAGTTAAGTGTAACAGAGATGGGAGTCAGTAAGGACTTTGGCAATTATTGAGACAAATAAACAGGATTCATTCTTTGAATTCAAGTTGCAACAAATATTTTTCATAAAATTGTGACAATAACCAAACACATCTTCTAAGTTATCATAATTATTTTCTGAAGGTTCTTCGGTATTTGAGAGTTATGGAGGATCAGGGCCTAAATCTGGTGGGGGAGGGGGTGGATCCTCAGCAGGTGGATCTAAGCTGGGCGTGAAGAAAGAGAGGTCAGATGAAGAAACCAAGGAAGTCCTGGACTATCTTCTGAAAGATGATGTATGGCTATGCAGGAGAAACTTTGTTTTATGTTAAATAGGAGAGACTTTGTTTTATGCACAGGCCTTTGGATCACTTAAGGTCAAGATCTAGTAAATAAAAGGAGCCTACAGATTTCTCAAATTTGAGAAATAAATTCCTTTAATGAAGCTTTAGAAGTATAGCTTGGTCAAAAAAGGTGTTTCGGGGCATAATTTGTAGGTAAACAAGACGAAAAATTATATTATAAACTGTCATTTTCATTGAAAAATTAAGAAATCAGTCATGAATATGGGAGTTTTTTCCATATCAGACAAATTTAATGTATCCAGATTGCCTACAGTCTCTCAGAAAACGGTAATTTGTATGTTCTTAGCCTCTTCTTTAAAATACTATTAAATTGAATATAGGTTTCGGGATTACTTTTCACATGATTTCAAATTGAATTCCAGGAAAATACTTTATTCTCTACATAATTCTATTACAGCCGTAAAGTACGGGATAAAAGACATTTTAATTTGAATGTGACGTCATAATGGATCTAGCATAAAAAATGCAGTCTAAAATCATTTACTAGATCTTGACCTTAAATCTGACTTTAAAAAAGTGGGGTGTATAAAAAAGATAAAGGTATGGAACTCCTTACATAGGGTACCCACTTTCACTAATAAAATACTTTTTGATCGAATGCTCTAAAATTTTACTTTCTATTCATATCTGTTCGTATATAATCAATATACATTACTACCAAAGTTCATTCCGAAATTCCTTGTACAGTGGCTTCCATTTTATCGGATAGCGGTTTAACGAATATTTCGGCTATTTCAATATAATATCAGAGCACAAAACCATTTCTTATATATTTATTAATAATTTCACCTGATATTCTGATGAGAAAATATTGGAATTTCGTTTTATCCGATACAAAAATTTGGACTATCATAGTGTTTTTTGATAATCAGCACCTTGTTCACACCTCCAACTTCGTATGTGAGGCCTTTGTTTACACAGTTTGACACCAATTACCTTGACTGGCTTGAGTACGATAATGAGGGGATTAGTTACGGCTGGACGCACACAGGCACCTTACCTGTGTCAATAGTGGGCATAGTAAATAGATATGTTTTGATTACAGTTGTGATGATCAGCTTGGGTTCAATGATGCACTTGTTAATTATGACAGTTATTTGTAATTTTTTCAGCGTGAAATTTTAATTATTGAACTGATTAGCTTGTGTATGACAATTTGCTTGGATAATGAAATAAGCCTATTCAATCGTTTAACTTGGTCAATTGGCTTAATATTTATTCACTTTTCAGTGCAAAATTTACAGTAAAAATCACAAATGGCCCATTCTATAAAAATACGTCTCAAAATTCACACCATCTTTCTCCACATGGCTCTCAAAATCTCTCTTCAGCAGACAAGAATAAGACCTGTAAACTCACACACAGTATAAAATATGTAACCGTATTAAAGAAACAAATAAAAACGAAACAATTACATATATTTAATATTTTTGTTTATTTTTAATTTACAATCTATCCAGGGAAAAATAGTTTACGGTTATTAGTCAAGCATTTAGTCTACTTCCGTTTCCAAAATGGCGACCATCGAAGAAGGAATGTAATCATGTGCTGAAGAAAGATGGCAATAACTATCAAAGAATATATTCTATACGTCAATTTATTTGAAAAAAAAAATCATATTAAATTCATAGGTAAGTGAAATAAATTATTTTTAGTAAAGTCATTAAGTAAACATGTCAAAAGAAAACGAAAGTGCAAGCTTGAAATTTGCTACGATGTATTATCAATACATGTAGCTCTATACATCTATCTTTGGACTCGGTATGGAGCAATCGGTTATTCTAATTTTCGGCTATTCGGATAAAACTAGGCTGACAACTTGACTATTCGATAAAACGGGAACCACTGTACTTCCCGAGATGTGGTGAAATCAATTCCAAAATGGACCTACTTTTTTTTACTCGACATTAGCTTGGGCCTTGGTTATTCACATGTATACATATGGTGTTTGAACTGCAACGAACAGCTGCATAGTATTTGCACAACCTTCAACATTTTAAAGTTGATTTTTTACTCCATATCTTAAGGTTAAGTCGGTAATAATTCCTTTCGTGAAAAAAAATTTTAGAAACGTTTGCTCCAACAACTTCACAGCCATGTTGTATATTAATGTAAAAAGAACTATGATTGAATGAAATTTTCCCGGAATGTATAATGTACCTTTTGATTTTTGGCTCACCTGAGCTGAAAGCTCAAGTGAGCTTTTCTGATCACCCGTTGTCCGTCGTCCGTCCGTCTGTTTGTCTGTCCGTCCGTCCGTCTGTCCGTCCGTTTGTAAACTTTTCACATTTTCAACTTCTTCTCAAGAACCACTGGGCCAATTTTAACCAAACTTGCCACAAAGTATCCTTAGGTGAAGGGGAGTGTAAATTGTTAAAATAAAGGGCCAAGTCCCCTTACAAGGAGAGATAATCAAGAAAAGACAAAAATAGGGTGGGTTCATTAAAAAATCTTCTTCTCAAGAACCACTGGGCCAGAAAAGCTGAAACTTATGTGGAAGCATCCTGGGATAGTGTAGATTCTAAATCGTACAAATCATGACCCCCGGGGGTAGGGCGGGGCCACAATAGGGAATCCAAGTTTTACATTGAAATACATAAGAAAAATCTTCTTCTCAAGAACCACAGGGGCAGAAAAGCTTAAACTTATATGGAAGCATCCTGGGGTAGTGTAGATTCTAAATTGTTCAAATCATGACCCCCGGGGGTAGGGCGGGGCCACAATAGGGAATCCAAGTTTTACATTGAAATATATAGGAAAAATCTTAAAAAATCTTCTTCTCAAGAACCACTGGGCCAGAAATACTGAAACTTATATTGAATCATCCTGGGGTAGTGTAGATTCTAAATTGCTCAAATCATGACCCCTGGGGGTAGGGAGGGGCCACAATAGGGAATCCAATTTTTACATTGAAATATATAGGAAAAATCTTAAAAAATCTTCTTCTCAAGAACCACTGGGCCAGAAATACTGAAACTTATATGGAAGCATGCTGGGGTAGTGTAGAATCTAAATTGTTCAAATCATGACCCCCGGGGGTAGGGCGGGGCCACAATAGGGAATCCAAGTTTTACATTGAAATATATAGGAAAAATCTTAAAAAATCTTCTTCTCAAGAACCACTGGGCCAGAAATGCTGAAACTTATATGGAAGCATCCTGGGGTAATGTAGATTCTAAATTGTTCAAATCATGACCCCTGGGGGTAGGGCGGGGCCACAATAGGGAATCCAAGTTTTACATTGAAATATATAGGAAAAATCTTAAAAAATCTTCTTCTCAAGAACCACTGGGCCAGAAAAGCTGAAACTTATTTGGAAGCATCCTGGGGTAGTGTAGATTATAAACTATTCAAATCATGACCCCTGGGGGTAGGGCGGGGCCACAATAGGGAATCCAAGTTTTACATTGAAATATATAGGAAAAATCTTTTAAAATCTTCTTCTCAAGAACCACTGGGCCAGAAAAGCTGAAACTTATTTGGAAGCATCCTGGGGTAGTGTAGATTATAAACTATTCAAATCATGACCCCTGGGGGTAGGGCGGGGCCACAATAGGGAATCCAAGTTTTACATTGAAATATATAGGAAAAATCTTTAAAAATCTTCTTCTCAAGAACCACTGGGCCAGAAAAGCTGAAACTTATTTGGAAGCATCCTGGGGTAGTGTAGATTATTATAAACTATTCAAATCATGACCCCCCGGGGTAGGGCAGGGCCACAGTAGGGAATCCAAGTTTTACATTGAAATACATAAGAAAAATCTTTACAAATCTTCTTCTCAAGAACCACTGGGCCAGAAAAGCTGAAACTTATGTGGAAGCATCCTGGGGTAGTGTAGATTCTAAATTGTTTAAATCATGACCCCCGGGGGTAGGGCGGGGCCACAATAGGGAATCCAAGTTTTAAATTGAAATACATAAGAAAAATCTTTAAAAATCTTCTTCTCAAGAACCACTGGGCCAGAAAAGCTGAAACTTATATTGAAGCATCCTGTAGATTATAAATTGTTCAAATCTTGACCCCTGGGGGTAGGGCGGGACACAATAGGGAATCCAAGTTTTACGTTGAAATATATAAGAAAAATATTTAAAAATCTTCTTTTCAAGAACCACTCGACCAATAAAGCTGAGACATATTTAGAAGCATCCTGAGGTAGTGTAGATTCTAAATTGTTCAAATTTTGACCCCCGGGGGTTGGGCGGGGCCACAATAGGTATATTAAAAGGGGGGAAATCTGGTAAAGAACAACATGGCCAAAGTTACTCAGGTGAGCGATGTGGCCCATGGGCCTCTTGTTTAAAAATTATACCGCTAAATTCTTGGTGGTAACTTATTAAGACCGTATGATCAAATCAGATAAAATTTTGTAGAGACTGAGTGCTAATAAACAAACATTCAGAGAATATAGAATAAATTCCGGGAAGAATTTGTCCCGTCATTCCCGCTTTACAATTAGTGTAACTTTTCAGAGGCCCAAGCTTATGTAGAGTAAAAAAATAAGGTCAAATTTTGGAATATGATTTCAGCATATCTCGGGAAGTATATGGAATTTAGGAAAGAACTTTGGTAGTAATGTAGAGTGTTTATATGTGAATAGTTATGAATAAAAACTAAAATTTTAGATCATTTGGTTTAAAAGTATTTTATTGGCAAATGTGAGTACCCTACGTAAGGAGTTCCATACCTTTATTTTTTTTTAACAACTTTAATTTTTCAAAGCGATCTAAGGGCCTGTGGTTTTATGTTAAATAGAAGTTTGATTCATCTAATTCTGCTAGAATTATACATAAAATCTCTCCAGAGAAATTAATTTTCCTTGTAACAAAATAAAAGTTAAAAAAAAAAGATTTCTTGGATCAATATTTTGAGTACTTGTACAGTGTACATGGAGTTGATTAATATTTTGAGTACTTGTACAGTGTACATGGAGTTGATTCAGAAGTTATGTTACTGGATTTATAAATTCCACCGAAATTGAAATTCATCCAAAAAAAATTGCTAGAAATTTGTTTTACTTTTGTTTTCCTTCAGTTTATTGCTGGTCCCCTTTCTGAGGACAAGGACATGGCACCAGTCCACTTACCTCTCTGTATTGTAGAGGACATCAAACCTGCTGTTAAAAGTAAGATTTTCAGATGGCAGTTGTATAATCCATGTATCTCTGTATCAACATTAATTCTGATAATAATCTAGGCTATACTGTATATTTGCATTCAATGGAATTTAGGATACATCGCAGATAATGTACAGTTTAAGTTTGTTTCAATCATGGAGTAAGTACAAAACTTATGAGATACAATCTCGGTATGTTCTCGATACATCCTCGATCAGCGTGTGTTCTGGTGAATGCTCTGCTTTTGCAAAGATGTTAGAGAAAAATCTGTTCTTACTAATGATGTCATTGTGATGAGATCATCAAAAGGACAGAAACAATCTTGTACATGTATATGATGGTTCATTAAATTTAGAAATAAATATGCATGTATGTCGAATTGTACTTGAATTTTTAAAATAAGACATTGATGATGTACTGTGAAATCACAGGGGGGTTTAGTTTTCATTGTTTTAGTAGTATAAAGATATTCACAAATTAATATTCTCCACAAAATGTTAAAATTTACAATA